TTGCCCTTCAGACAACAGCTCTCAAATTTTGCTCACCCTGGGCAAGACTTAGTTTATTTTTTTTGGTTGGCAAAGGCCTGGGCCTTTGCCTGTCAGGCAAGTGTGAATGAAAGTTACTTGCATGGCAGGAAAATCTACTTGTCCCGGACAACCAGTCAGCAATTTTTTCAAGCTCTGCTTTACTATTCGAGCAACACCAAAAAAAACATGGGATAAGCACTATCCACTGAGAAAGAGCAGAATAGGTTGTTTCGCTTCCCACCATAGAAATGAAACAAAAGAAATTAAAACTTCTTACATTGATAGGCCTTTCGGTTCTTTTAATCCCTGCTCATAGATAGAACAGAGTATTTATACTTAATCGTACCTTACTGGTATGCTTCATTGGCTTATCAGGTGAGTTTGGTTGAGCTATGTTCCCTATTACCCATGGCAAGACCAAACAAACCAATTTGGCCAAGCGATCATGATATCATGGCCACGTCAGGTTGGTGACTTGATATCGCAGGATATCAGGACAACAGACATGGCTCCTGACTAGCTAATTGTGAATTGGGTATGGTAATGTGATGAAGCAAATCTTCCAAATTATACTGTTGAACATACAATGTACTTACTGTAGTAATCTCCAACAGCATACAACACAGTACACAGGAAGTCTAAACAAGGCCAATGCTTTGGATTACACTTCAAACCCTATACAGGGGTGGAAAACATGGCAAATTGATTAAAAACGATTATATAAGTCAGCTTGATGAGCTAAATTGGTTGGTTGTATCTACAACTGTTAACATTTACTGTTAACAGTGTTCGGCGGAGAAAGGCAGCCCAGTAACTTTCCCCTAAAAGTAATCGATTTATTAACCCAGGAGGTATATGTATACCCTTGTGGCTAGTAAAACAAAATAACAACGTCTATAAATTTCTAATACAGCATTTGAAAACTATTTTCGAAGTTTTCTAGTATAGACACTACAGACCTCTTCAAACGAGCGTCGAGCTAGGCAAAGATCAAAAGTCTTCAGAGCCACTATGCCAAGATGATACCACACAGTCACATCAGAGTCATCTAGGGCAACAGCCTGCATAGGGACAGGATCAGGCAGTCAAAGATGAAGAAAATACCATAAATTAAAGATTAAGGTTAGAAAGTGGATGAGAGAAGGCCTGTACAACATGTTTCATCTGTACCAGGTCATCTAACTTCGTCACTGTTAAATATCCTAAGGATTTATGAGGAACATTGAAGGTTAAAACTCAAAGATTCAACCATTTAAATAAGATGCGCTTTAAAACTATCTTACCTGTAGTTCACTCTTAGTGCTAGGACACAAGTGATTTGAATGCCGGAAGAGCAAGAAGAAGAAAGGTCCCTCACCTGAAGATATGCATCTATTGATTTCTCCCATTGTTCTCTCTTCTCTGCCAGTGAAGCCAGATTTTTGTATGCTGAATATTTCAGCACATGTCCAGGTTCAACCAAGCCTGCATCTTCCTCTGGTGGGGGAGCCTATTAAAAAGAAACATTCATTCCTTTTTGCATTCATGATAAACATTTCACCTGGGAAATAATAACTACATGTAAAAGGTAAAGGGAAAACCTCCACTTATAGTTACATTGTAAGATAACAGAAGGCCACCAATTTAAGGTAGAACTCTGTCCATAGTTAATTACAGTACAAACATGAACATGTTCCCTGTTGCACTTTCTACATGCACCCTTTGTAAGATCACATGATACCCAAATACAAACTATTTAATATGTAAATTGCCTACTTTGGATTGTCTTACAATTTTAACCATTACCTTCAACTCCTCTGTATCATTTTACCTTAGCTACTAATATCACATGCCGTCTTATGTTTGCAGGGACAAACATAAAGTAAAACACCATTTTAAAAATTAAAGTGCTTACCTCTTTAACCAAAGCAGAATTTAACAACTGATTATAAGCTTCCTCTGACGCTACATAATCTCCTTTCTGCTGCAAGGCTAGGCCTTTGTTATATAGCTCCAAAGCCTCTGATTCCTAATAAAGACAGTGTTAACAATATTCTATCATAATTGTTGTGATTTGGGGATGTTGAGGGATATTATTTTTCAGGAACTTTAGACCCAGAGGCTTTAGACTCAGGTGACTCTTTCTCTAACTCTCTCTTGAGCAAAACTATCATAAGTATTACCAGCAAGGGAAAAATGTCCATATGGCCTCACTATTATGTACATGTAAGAATGTTTAAAATTTCTTGTAGGGCTGTTATTAAGGGCTGTAACCAATAACAATAGGCCACTTTCCACATATTAAAATTCAGCTTGATAGCACAGCCTAGAGCACAAAAACAAAAGAAATGAATAAACATGCCATTCAATTTCCTTTGTTTGTGTCCTCTAGGTCTCACTGCCAAGCTGAATTTTAATATAACAAAAACAGTCTATTGTTGCATGTGAGCACGCCCAATGGGCCCTGGATCTTATGGATGAACTTGGCTGCTGATAATTCACTCGCAAATCAGCAAGTTTGTCACGGGTGTGAAGATCAAGGGATCAGGAGCCTCAAAACTTAATAACAGCCCTGTCTTTCACACTATCCTTTGCACATGAATGGGGGGGGGGGGGG